CCGAAATATGCCAACAGTTCAGCTTCTAGTCAGCAGCAACAGGTGACTTGTGGCGTGGATGCCCAAAACCAACAATCATTTTTTGGTGCAAATCTAGACAACTCCGGACTTCTCCTTCCCACCACTTTGTCAAGTGTTACGACTTCAGGTGTTCATGCAGATATGTCATCTATGCCATCAGAGTATCAGAATTCTCCTTATGGTTACATGCAAGACTCATCTGAGCTGGTGTCCAGTGTCGGACAAGTTGACCAAACAACCCCTGCTCCTACATTTGTCAAGGTAGCTAATCTCTATTATTCTTAAAATCTATTTACCATGCATCTTATTTAGACTTCTCCTTGATAGATAGATAATAGTCTCGTTCTTGAAAGCAGGTTTACAAATCAGGATATGTTGGGAGGTCACTGGATATCACCAGAATCAGCAGCTATCATGAGCTACGACAGGAACTGGCTCAGATGTTCGGAATTGAAGGGTTACTTGAAGACCCTCAAAGATCAGGCTGGCAGCTTGTATTCGTTGACAGGGAGAATGATGTACTTCTCCTTGGAGACGACCCGTGGGAGTGAGTAGTTTAACTAATCCTTTGTTCATTAGGCCTAGTTTAGGCTTCGTTTGGCAGCACTTTCTGCCTTATTCTGCTTATTTGGGTGAAGGGGATGTTAACAATATCTTGTTCTTCATATGGGTGACGGGTCAATAGATTAGGTTCGGACCAGTGTAGGCTTCTTATGGTAGCCTTATTTGGCATATTCTGTTTAACAGCAGAATTAGAACATTTTGACTTATTTGGATGAAATGGATGTTGCCAAACACTTTCCCTTCAAATGACTCATCATAGTATTAGGTCAGGCCTAGTTTAGGCTCTGATTGGTAGCCTTATCTGGCTTATTCGGCTTGTCTGCAGAATAAGTAGATTTTGGCTTGCTTATGGATGAAAAGGGATACTTTTGAACAGTCTTCCTTCAACATTTTCAACACATTTGGTCATTTCAACCATATAATAAGCCATACCCTGATGGGCCCTTAATCTCACAGTTAAGGCTATAGAACAACAAAAAAGCTATAACTGTCATGAGGTGCTTTCTAACCACAACCCTTATATTTTTACAAACTTAGGGTTAGTCAGCCAGTTAGTCTTACAAAACTGTTTGACTGCAAACACATATGCATGTACATTTGTACATCACTTCTATACCATCAAAAATCAAAGTCCTTCTAATGTGCAGCACGCCAAATACTTTTTATTGCGATTTCTGCCCCTTGGTCTCGTTTCTCCTTGATTAAACTGTTCGCAATCAAGCAATGTAAGATTTTGAAAGGACTTACAACTGCAATTATAATTTGATACTGATAGGCGATGATTCTTTCAGGGCATTTGTGAATAATGTGTGGTATATCAAAATCCTTTCGCCCGAGGATGTGCAGAAGCTGGGGAAGCAAGAAGCCGATTCCCTTAGCGGAAACACAATGGAGAGGATGCATGGCAGTGGTAGTGCTGATGGAAGAGACCACCTGTCTGGATTTCCTTCTCTAGGATCCCTCGAGTACTGATTTTGTATTCCCCCCAGCTTTCCACTTGTGGACTCAACATGTTCAAAACCACTTATTTTATTTGTCCCATCTACCCAGACTTTATTAATTAGCTTTGTCCAGTCAATCTCATCCTCATTTGTAATTTGTATGGTGTAGTGATTTTGTAGGAGCTGAATGTTCTTATTATGGGTCTTAGACTACTTTTAGAGCTTTGGTATCCATCTAGACCAAGTATTGGAACCATTGCACCTTCAAGCAATGTAATGTCTTTTTTGAGGATACTAGGGTAATTAGTTGCTTTCTTTGTCTACTAGTAAGGGACCAAGAGAGGAATGGCCGGTTTGGCCGCCCTGCTCACCTGCACTGAGTTATGCTGAATTTATTGTATATATAAGTTTGTTTTTTATTCACAAGCTTAGAAAATGTTTTAAATTCTGTCTACCCAAAGCACGGGGAAGGAATTTTTTCCTATTAATGCCATTTTCTGGCTCCATACCTGAGGTCAGTTGCTTATTTGCTTTATTAAATACTATGTACTTTGTAAATGACTATTGTAGCTGATATCATTATGTCAAAATGATTACCTTAGATGACAAATTCAATTATTTTATATAGTAATTTTCTTTGCGACTTTATTAATTACTACGTACTAGTAATGATAAGAAGTAGGAGTAGCTTCAAAGAAGTCGAAATAGATACTTGACCAAGAACTATATGATAAGTTGCAAGTGACAAATAGGCATATACATCGAACTGAACAAGAAATTGTCAAAAGAACCTCAAACTATTTTATTTGTAATCTAGAGGACCAGGGCCGGCCTTTTGGTACTTTAGGGCTTCAGGAGTTCCGGTGGAACCTATTAAAGTGGGCCTACAAAATATATAGGGTTCAGATTTGTTGTTACCCAACCAAAATAACTTTTCTGAAATTGAAGATATTGATAGAATAAAAGTCTTCTTACTATCTTCAACTACCAAATTAATTATTACTCCATAATAAATAGATCCAATGGAAAGTCTTATTTAATTTCCCATCTTCCTTTACATTTGGAGCCCGTTTGGTGGCACCATTTTTCGGCTTATCAGACTTATCAGCCAACTTTTTTATCAAACACATAACTTTTGTTTTCGCGTGCTGAATTGTGAAATAATAAGAAAAAATAATGTAGGAGTTACTTTTCTAGTTGTATTGAGTGGAGTTAATGTAGATGCCCATTTTACATTTTTACCTATTTTTTTCATATAATTTATTATTACATTTATTAATAACAAATATTTTAAATATTTTTTTTCATAAATCAGCAGAATTAGCCAATACAGTCAGAACTTCATAAATTTCAGCAGAATCAGCCAATTCAACCAATTTCACTGTTACCAAACGGGTTCTTCATACTTTACTGTGACAACTACTAGTCGATAAGTAATTTAAATAATACAATAATTTATTTTGTATGAAGACCCAAAAGACTTTGAGCAATTTCAATATAATTGTATGCAACGCTTTCATCTTTCCAGTAATATTTCGTATTTTTTGCACCATTATTCGATTAGCTATAAGTAGTTCTCATTTCTCCCCAAGCAAAAACCTAGTTTTGTATAATAAGTTATAAATAATACTAACTTTCCAAGTGTCAAACTAGTAAGAAATGGGGAAAATATGAAATAGAAATGAAAGCATTTTCTTAAAAATATTACGGAGTACTAATTAATTTACTGAAATCATCATTGCTGTAACATCAAAAGTCTGAATATTTTAATTGATAAAAACTAAAGAATATGTTATATTTTTAAATTCAATAGCTGCGGATACATTAATCTAGTAATACTAATTTTATTTATTGAAATTAAATTTGGAGGTTTAAATAGGGATGTGGTACTTTAACTGGATCACTCGTGGATTTAGAATGTTTTTCACTAATTTCTTGGTCTGATCGGGCTTGATTGTTTAAGTTTGGTCTAGTCTAGTTAGTCTGGTCTGACCATTGACAGAAGTCTGATGCTTGTGTATTTTACAACTATTGAGATATGATCTAATATGGTCTAGTATGTTTTAGTCTAGTCTGATCTAATCTATTTAAGATCAATATGGTCGTATTAATGTGGTCTAATCTAGTTTGGAATTGAAATAAGTTCAAGTAAAAACATTCTTAATCTTACAATATGTCGAGAGATTTTGCATTCACGGTTATACCTACCTCCGTCCCATTTTCGTTAGCCAATATTGACTTTTCCTGTCGGTAGACTTCCATCAATCTTTTTTAGTAATAAAATATACATTTGCGAATTTTATAAATTTTATGAAAGTATATATAACAAAAAGCATAGAGTGTGGGAGAACATGTAAGGTGGCAACAAATTATAGTGTGGTATCTCTATGTTGCAACACTAGAGGGAGGCACAAAGAAGGACACACACGATTGAGGCGCAATGAGCAATACAACGTTGGAAGAAACCTTCAGAGGGATTACTAAAAGTAAATGTAGATGCGGCTCTCGATGAAACACAAGACAGAAGCACACGCTTGGATGGCAAGAGATGCTAGTTGGGAGGTAGTTGCAGGAGGTAGGCACACTGTTCGAGCTAGTTGGAGTGCAACAATTACTCAAGCATTGGGAGTTCGAGAAGTTTTGAGTTGGATAACAACTCAAGGATGGACTAGGGTGAAAGTGGAGACAAAATCATTGGCGGTAGCCTCAGGCATTACATGAAGGCAAAAGGGAGGCCTCTCTGGGTACTATTATTGATGATATAAGTCACATTCTTCGCACTGAAGCTAGTTTATAAGTCATTCATTATAAAGTATAAATTATCCGCCAATAGAGTGACTTATACATTGGCAAAGGCCGCTCTTTGTGAGTCGGATGGTAGTACAAGTTTCATTGTTCCACTTGATTGTATTGTACTCCATTTGGAGAATGATAAGTTAAATGAATAACACGTTACTTTTCCTTAAAAAAAAGAGCACAACAAAAAACCTTTTCATACATACATATGTTATATACATTCATATATAAACATATTATTAGTCAATGTTTAACATTATTGAGAGGAAAATTCATTGTTGGCTAACTAAAATGGGATGAATGTAGTATTTTTCAAACATACGTAGTACAACTTTTAATTTTGTGCGTTGAATCGTGTAATACTCCGTAATAAAAATAAGTGAGATTATAATTACTTTTTAGACTGAATTGATTAAAGTTACTATAAAAGATTATTTTTAAGTATTTTTTATTTTATTTAGTCGTTTTAGCCAAAAAAAACTTCATCAATCTTGAAAAAATCAGTTATAAACCCATTCACCCAATTTTCTCTTTATTTATAAGGCTAAGAATATTATTTTGTTGAGTACCTAGTACAATAATAAGCAAAACAATCACAATATATTTACAAGATATTGGGAATATATTTGTGCATTGAACCATTTAAATAGTGAAGTACTATTCACATACTGACATCCGCTCAAATCCGTAAATTAAAAGTTGTCAACCAACTGACATTAATATTTTCCTCTAGTTTTATTTTAACTCTCTCCATTAATGATCTTGAAATTATTTTAGACCAAAGTTCTCGTGACACTCGTCTGCATCTTCTTTCTCCCCTGTCACTCCAGTGACCACACAGCTTTACCTTCCAACTTCCTCACCACCCAGCTCTTTACTTTATGATGAATGTAGCCATAAATATGCAATGTAATGTTTGAGCTGAGCTAATTGTTAATAACTGATACCCTTTATGCAAAAATTAAAGTCCTTTGAATACCCATTTTGTGTCGTTCGATCTAGTTGTTGTTTTTGTTTCCATTTTCGTTCGTGAGTGTTCATATTCAGTGGCGGACGCGCTCCAGGGCCAGAAGGGGAGCCCTTCGAATTGCGTACAACACATGCCACAATCCATATCAAGAGGCTGCATAAGGCTGATCTGAAAATTTTCACCCAAGTTTAGACCTTTGAGCTCTATTGCAGACGTGCTTTTCCTTTCAGTCGTCGGCCAAAGGGGTAAGTTTTGGTTTTCCCTTTTTAATTTTTGGGGATTTCACGTGGGTTGCCTTTTTCTTTTGTTTTTACTGATCTTGAAATTGATTTCACATATGTTGCACAGAGAACAACCCTAATGGTTGTTAGTCAACCCTTGTTTGTGATCATTACAAATTTACTGTTAAGTATACATGTGAACACTAAATCCCTGATGGTTGATAACATATTTGTTAAGGATTCCTAATCTTGTTAGAAATGAATTGGCATTTTGCTAAGATAACCATTGAATAATTAAGTTGGTTTGGATCTTTATTGCAAATAATGTGCCCGTCTGTGCTGTTTCCTGAGCTCCTTTCTCAACCAGCATTTTTGTTCTCTTACCCTTAGGTTTGGCATTTCAGTTTTATCAAGTTATTTGTTGTGAATGTGGACGCTTGTTTGTGCCCATCAATTAGATTCCCTACTAATAGGGAATCTACAATTACTCCGCTATTAAATGGTTAGTCAAAATTACACTTTCACGGACGTATCTGAATAAGAGTAAGATAACTGCAATTGTGGCTATTTATGCACTTTAGCTTTTAAGTTAAAGTTATATAGTTGACTATTCAGATTGTTTTGCCTTCCTAACTAGTTTTCCTGTACCAACCCCAAATTCTATTGGGACTCAGGCTTGGATGTTGTTGTATAAAATTTGATCTTTATGATCTCTGGTTCTTGGATATCATCAAGTCTTGTCTGTTGAGGAAACTTTACTAGTGGGAATGCGGTGGTATAGCTATTTGAGGGCCTGAGGGGTGTTCTTCAGTTTAAAGATTTTCTGTCTGCAACCTTCATTCTGAACCCAAGTTTTGTGATTTTCAGACATTTTTAACTTTTCTTTCATATTTCGTTGAAACGAATACTTTGTTTTAGATACAAGTTATGTGAATTGATATTCTTTAATTTGTTTACTCCTTGATTAGTGAGTCATCTGTTTGTTATCAGGAGAGATTAGAAGTGTCTTAAGAAGCTCTAGAATAAATGCTGCTCAGTTGAGGAGAAGCAGTATGTGCTTGCTTGAAACCTTAAATGCTTGAGTCCTTATGAATTATGATTTCTGATATGCCACCAGCTATGGCCCAGAGAGTGACAAGAACAAGGTCAGTGAGGTCATCTCTGGGATCCAGTAATGGATATGAAACTCCTCGCTTTTCCTTTGCTGCCTCAATTGGTGATGGTTATGATAGCGATGGTTCAAATTTTCCTCCATTGTGAGTTCTTCTTAAGCATCTGTCGTTAGATTAAGCTTAACATCATTATGTGCAATTTCCAGTTATAACTCATTCCCTTTTTCTATTTCATCTCATGTGACCTGCAGCACACCGATTACGCTCCCATCAGATATTTCTCCTGAACTTTCTGGTGTGATGGCATATATTGATAAGTTTCAGGTGAAATATTTTTGTACGAGTGGAACAAAAATCATTCTTTGGTTGCTGACATTAGAATATTAATAAGCGATGAGAAATGCTTTATAATTTCCTTTGAACTTATTCTTCTGTATATTTTAGGTGGAGTTGTTTCTGAAGGCTATGCAAAAGCAGATTCACTCTGCTGGAAAGCGAAGTTTCTTTTCTAAAAAGTCAGTGGGGCCCCAAGTTCGAGAGAAATTCACATTTGAAGATATGTTTTGTTTTCAAAGGGTAAGAATATGATGTTTAAATGCTAACATGTGATGATCTGATAAGAACAGAAAAAAAATAAAATCAACGGGGTAACCCGTTGCCCAAAATAATCAACGGCTGGATCCGTTGCCCAGAGCTAAATAGCTAAAACCAATATTATTAATGCTTGATTTGAATAAGCCTAGGCAGGGGTTTATATAACCCTTACATCCAAAACTGAATAGGACACTAAATCCTAGTAAGAAACATAATAGGAGTCCTAATTAAATTATTCTAGGAAACTAAATGGAATAGGAAACCTCTAGTTCTAATAGAACTCCTAATTAAATCATTCTAGGAAACTAAATAGAAATAGGAAACCTCTAATTAATAGAAGTCCTAATTAAATCATACTAGGAAACAAAATAAATTAGGAAACAAAATAAAAGGAATAATTAAAATTAATTAAATTCCTCGCAGCCAGCCCACGAAGGTGGGCTCAAGCCCGTCCCGCCTTCGGTAAACCCACGGGGGCTTCTTCCCCTCTTCTTCCAAGCCTAGATTCTGCTTCATATCATGATCTCCTTTGCACTCCTAACTTAGGACTGTTCTTATTTCAACAGGAACCTATCCCGACATCCATTTTGAAAATCAATGGAGACCTCATTGCTAGGGCAGTTAAGATGTTTCAGATCATTTTGAAGTACATGGGAGTTGACTCCTCCGATCGTGTGATTGATCTAAGCTTAGATGAACAAATTGAGCTTATCGGCAAACTTTATAAGCTTGCATTGAAGCGACCTGAGCTTCGAGATGAACTTTTTACACAAATTTCTAAGCAAACACGAAACAACCCAGATAGGTATGTGAGTTCAAGCTGTATAATTGATGAATGGAAAGCAGATCTCCTCTTTACTCTTCTTGATGTAACTTGTAGTTTCATCTTAATGAGGGTTATGTATTCACCTATATAGGCAATGTTTGATTAAGGCATGGGAGTTAATGTACCTCTGTGCATCTTGCACGCCTGCTAGCAAGGAGATTGGTGGGTACTTGTCAGAGTATATTCATACCGTGGCATATGGAGTGAGCACTGATTCTGAGGTCCAAGTCTTTGCATTGAACACATTGAATGCTTTAAAACTTTCTGTTAAAGCTGGACCTAGACGCTCAATTCCTGGCCGGGAAGAGATTGAAGCTCTTTTAACTGGGAAAAAGCTTACAACAGTTGTGTTTTTCTTGGATGAAACTTTTGAGGAAATTACATACGACATGGCCACAACTGTTGCTGATGCTGTTGAGGTATTGTTGTACCTTCCTCTCACTTTTTATGAGCTCATTAATCTTTTTCTTGCGGATATGGTAAATGATATTTCAGAATAAATTGATAAAGAGTCAAGGCGGGATTAGGACTTGTTTGTTATGATCTCTCACCTTCTGGATAGATTTAAAGCCTAACTGAGGGTACTGTTTCAGTATCTTGTTACATAAGAACAAAATTGTATAGGATTTCTGTCTTGGTCAACCATACTCAAGAGCATACTACAGATTTCCTTTTCCACCACTTTAAACGGCTAACTTTGTATCTTCAAGAGCTCTTTTGGGCATTTATTGAGTATGTCTGATAATGATATATTGTAATGGGCTGTAAAGTCATGTGGCTGATAAGATTTCGGTGATGTAAAAAGAGCATTTTGCCACCAAAACCTATTTCATGCTCAAATTTAAACCTCTCTAGTTTTTGTGAGCGAACATCGGAACATGTAAATCTGTTTGTGCAGCTGAGTATTACAGTATACCATTCAGAAGTTAATCATCAAGCTACCCTACACTCTAACACTAAGAACATAGTGATATTGGTATTTTTTTCATGTTATTGGTGGTGTATTAAACTCCTGCATTTTAAGTATTTCAAATTGGATTATTTATTTAAGTGTCTCATCACAGGCTCAAGCATTATTGTTAAGTTTGCCATATTCCTTATTTTTAATCTGCAGTCTGAATTGATGAAAGTGCATCATATGTGCTGATTCTTTTTATTCACCTTCATTTTTGGATACTGCTTGTTGCGTGCAGTACATCTATTAATAAAGCTGTTTTTACTGAAATTGTTTTTTTGTTTACCTGGTTCTTTTCTCATATATTTGTGCATGCACTCCAGGAGCTTGCAGGGATAATTAAGCTGACAACGGTTTCCGGCTTTAGTCTCTTTGAATGTCGTAAAGTTGTTACTGGTTCTAAAGTGCCAGATCCTGGAAATGGTATATTTTTGTGACTTTGTTACACATTTCATTTTTAGTTATTTTTAAATGAATTTCAAATTTTTAGTGTTTTTTTAGAATTGTACATTATTTCCTGTGGTAAAATCAAATGCATCGTTTTGTATAGTAGAGGAGTACATTGGCCTAGATGATAATTTGTATATTGGAGATCTGTTGGCTGACTTCAAGGCATCCAAAGACAAGAGTAAAGGAGAGATTGTGCAATGCAAATTGGTATTCAAAAAAAAGTTATTTCGGGAGTCAGATGAAGCTGTAACAGATGCAATGTTCTTGCAACTGTCTTATGTTCAAGTAAATTCACTTTTCATTGGCAACTTCCTATTTTCTAACATATCTTGTGTTTTCTAATGATTTCCCTTTTTTGACAGTTGCAACATGATTATATACTGGGAAATTATCCTGTTGGAAGGGATGATGCTGCACAGCTATCTGCTTTGCAGATACTGGTTGAAACTGGATTTATTAATGGCCCTTCATCATGCACGTGAGTAATTCTTGTTGACCTTGGTGTTTTTTTTTCTCGCGGTACATTTTAATTTCATCAACTGCTTTATTGCTCTTTTTTCTTTGTGAAGTCTAAATGTGATACACTATCATTTTTCAACTTGCCGGTTAAGTCATTTTCAAGTATGAGTGCACTTGCTATTTACATTTTACGTTTTTTCGATTTGTAGTGATTGGCAATCACTTCTTGAGCGATTCCTACCTAGACAAATTGCAATTACTCGTGCAAAGAGGGAGTGGGAATTGGACATCATTTCTCGTTATCAATCAATGGTAAACCATTATGAGCTCCCTAGTTCTTGTTGTTTTTGCGCTTTTTTCTTCTAATATACTGTAATAGAACCTTTTGAATAGAGGCAAAATGCAATTCTTGAATGCCAATTACACCATTTACATGTCTTGTTGTCCTTATGAAGAAATTTTCTTATGCAGGACAATCTAACTAAAGAAGAAGCCAGGGAACAATTTTTACGGATCTTGAAGACTCTTCCTTATGGAAATTCAGTTTTCTTTGCTGTTCGTAAAATTGATGATCCGATTGGACTCTTGCCAGGAAGAATAGTATTGGGCATAAACAAACGAGGGGTAAAGTATTTTATCACTTTGATAAACATGCATATATTTATTTCCCCGACATTTTTCGCCCTCCAAATTTTCATTGATATGATTTGCTTGCCCCTTGCAGGTTCATTTCTTCCGTCCAGTCCCAAAGGAGTATCTGCATTCAGCTGAGCTAAGGGACATAATGCAGTTTGGTAGCAGTAATGCTGCTGTGTTTTTTAAGATGAGAGTTGCTGGCGTCTTGCATATATTTCAGTTTGAAACGAAACAGGTATTAGAGTTGTAATGTTGATTGAAGTGAAAATTTTATGCATTTTGCACACATGATGTTTTCTTTTGCATCACTAATGGATGTAGCTTTGTTCTACACTAATAATGTAGGGTGAGGAAATATGTGTTGCCCTTCAAACACATATCAACGATGTGATGTTACGCCGTTATTCTAAAGCCCGCACTGCTTCAAATGGATCAGTTATTACAGATCTTCCAAATAATGCCAAGATGCCAAACACGGATTCCTATGAAAAACGTATTGAGGAATTGACGAGTGCCCTTGAAGAGTCCAGAAAGAAGGTCAATGAAGTGAGTAATGTTGACTGGGTAACAGTCATAAGCACCTCATGGGTCTTTTTTTCATAACAAGCAGCCCACCCATTTCAGAATAATTTCCGATTTGGCTGTATTATATTTCACAATATTTTTTATTTATAAAATCAAGACAACATTTTATACCAACCCTCCACTTTTGTTCTTTTAGTAAACTATATCTAAATTAGTTTCTAACTCTTTCAAGAAGGGGTATTATAATTAAGACTAGTTTCAGCACAACTACTATTTTTATTTTGCATGTTTTAAGGATATTCAATGACTTTCTAAATGTGTGTTTATAATTCTTACACACCCGTTAAACACAAAAGCGTGAGTTTAATTAGGGGATATGTGATCTTTAACTGGATTTCTTCGGGCATAAATTAATTGTATATGACAATGTATTATTTTTCTTTCTTTTCACTATTTATTAAGGGCATGTTTGGGTCAGGGTAATGCTAAAGAAAGGAAACAAATCTATAAGATAGTGTAATGCAAAGGATAGTGAGAGATGAATTGTGTATTATAATTTTTACATACATTTAGAATCTTAGATTATTTAGTCTTTATGTAAATGGAGTTAGTTTGACAATATACCTAAAATATACTTGGTGAGTTTGAGGAGATATTCTATTTTCCCCTCATTCTCTTTCCTTCCCGACTTCTTGTGTATTCTCCTCTCTATTCTTTCCCTGTCATTTTCCAATGTCTGAATTGACTTTAACTGAGTTTCAATTTGTGGAAAGCGAGTTCATTTTCATTTTCCTTGTGTCAGCATATGCTATATTATATTACTTACAACATTTGAGGGGAATTTGTTCATTTGCAGTTGCTAAAAGATTCAATCGAAAGAGAAAGGAAGGATTTGAAATTTCAAGAGGAGCTAGAGCAGTTAAAAGGTTACCTTAGAGCAGAAAAGGAAAATTCTGCAAAAGTGGCTAGTGACCGCGATAAGTTCAAATCCTTGTATGAAGATACAGATTCAGAACTTCAGGTACTTATGATTAAAACATTGAATTTTGATGCCATGTTAATATGTCAACTGCTAATACCAAAAGTCCGGTGGTAGGCTGCTTTAGCAGAGAAGCAGAGCTTGGAAACAAGACTAATGAAATTGAATCCTCTTGGATTGGAGAGTAACATCAGAAAGGAATTTGTTGATGTTAATAACCAGGTATAGCTAGTGATGTCTGGGTTGCCAAATGAGTAGTGGAACACAGTTGGATTCTAAAGACCTTTTCAAAAAATTGATTCAAAATCTGATCATTTTTATGCAACATTGAGTTTATGTTTTTAAATTTAAAGTCAACCAATTTATGTGTTTTGCTCATTCGAATGACAAGCTGCAAATGGAACTCATTAATAGGCTTTGTGTTCAATCCAAGATGAGCTGAAAGCTCGCCTTGTGGACTTACATGCCTTAGAAGAAACAAAGATAAAGCTTTTGAATGAAAAGGTGAAATTACAAGAAAAAGTTATGAAGCTTGAACAGGAGAAAGGTGATAAGGTGCTCACTTCATCCATTTTATACTGATTCTACCCTTCTATTCATATGCAATACTTTGTTTCTTATCTCTTTGTACTGTGTATTGAAACCCTTCAGAAATCCTTTGAACATGAATGCAAGACATTAACTATTCAAGTTTCTGAGCTTCAAAGTAAATTGGAAGAAGTTAAACTGGATTTGGCAGTTGCAAAATCTACTCTCGCAGCTAAGGACAAGGAGCTGGAAGTGTTACAGAATAATCTGAAAGAGCTTGGAGATTTGAGAGAGATGAAAGAGGTGACTATTTTATAGTAGTTGAACATTTGAACTTCCATTTGCTGCTTTTATATTTTGTTGTAATAAGTTGTATTTTTTGTGTTTAAAATTATCACGAAGTGATACTTTCAAACAACTGGCAAGCACGTTGTACACAATTATTCTATTCAGTGATCTTACTTGGAGGACCATATATATCTTTAGTTCACTATCCCACACTTGCTACTGTCTACGATAAAGTTTAGGAGATAGAGCTAGTAAGAGTTAGACAAAAAAAGTCACATGGAGTTGCTTAAAAACATTTGCTAGATTTATGGTTGTAGTCCTACATATAAACAATGGATTTAAATATTAAATTTTGATGAAACTGAAAACACTTTATGTAGCATATCTCCAGAATGGGTGTTAGATTTTTAGGCTTATTTATATAATTTGTTATATTAATTTACTTTTCAAAGTTTTATCCCATCTTTTTTGAACTACTTCATACTCCATAACATATATGCTATTATGCCAGGATATTGATAGAAAGAATGAGCAAACTGCCGCACTTTTGAAGATGCAAGGAGCACAATTAGCCGAAATGGAAGCACTTTATAAAGAAGAACAACTATTGAGGAAAAGATACTTCAACATGATAGAAGGTATTTTATTTTGATTGATAGTAGAAACATTTCATATTTATTTTGATTCTCTTATTAACAATGCGTGCATTTTGAAATATGTCAGATATGAAAGGTAAAGTTAGAGTGTGTTGTAGATTAAGGCCTCTTAGTGACAAAGAAATTGGTGCAAGGGAAAGAAATGCGCTCACAAGTGTCGATGAGTTTACTGTTGAGCATCTTTGGAAAGATGAGAGAAGACAACACATGTATGATCAAGTGTTTGATGGAAACTGTACTCAGGAGGATGTATTTGAGGATACAAAGGTAAGCTTAACAAAGTTCACATAATTTAATGTAGTTAAGCACATGTGGCCTCTTTCAACTATAAATATATAGTTATCTACCTTGGTTTCATGCATAAGTTTATGTAGCTAGACATATGTGGCCTTTTCAACTTTTCATATTTAATTATTTACCTTGGTTCATGCAGTTTTTAGTACAATCAGCTGTTGATGGGTACAATGTGTGCATCTTTGCATATGGCCAAACTGGATCCGGAAAAACCTTCACAATTTATGGGTCTGATAGTAATCCCGGATTAACCCCCAGAGCTACCTCTGAACTTTTCAGAATTATGAGACAAGATAGCAACAAGTTCTCATATTCCTTGAAGGTACCACTTTTTCTGCTATGTAACCGTTTTTGTAGTTTGATCATTTGATGTGGTTGGTCGTTAATTACCAAATGGAATGAAGTAATAGTGTTAATATTTAATCATCAAGGTTCAACTGCTGCATTTTACTTTTGCATTTTAAATAACTCGGTGCTCCTATATATTGTGATAGATTTTCACACAATGTAAAAGTACTGTCATTTTCTCATATGTTTAATATTTATTTTGACTGATCAATGCAGGTGTACATGGTGGAATTGTATCAAGACACATTGGTAGACCTCCTCCTACCAAAGTCTTCAAAGCGTTTGAAATTGGATATTAAAAAAGATTCAAAGGTGATTGGTAGTTGATAGCCATTTTGAAATGTAATCGTATACTAACCTTGATAATATTATCTATATATGCATTAGTGCGTCTGATATGTGTGTGTCTAAGCAGGGTATGGTAGTGGTTGAGAATGTGTCTCTTGTATCCATTTCAACATATGAGGAGCTAAGAACTGTTATCCAGAGAGGATCTGAGCAGCGTCATACGAGTGGAACTCTTATGAATGAACAGAGTTCTAGATCTCATTTGATACTTTCCATTATAATTGAGAGTACTAATCTTCAAACACAAGCTGTTGCCAGAGGAAAGGTATGAAGAGTGGTTGCTATTCATCATCATATTATAATCTCATTCACTTGACCAGTTAACTTGACAAAGTAGTTTTTTCATGTTCATTTATTCCCTTCTGAGTTTTTCTAATGATAAATGTAATCAATAGATAATGCAATAAAATATATTGGAGTAATTAATCATTATTAATTGTAATACTCATATGTGACAACATTTGGGATGCAGTTAAGCTTTGTGGATCTTGCCGGTTCAGAAAGAGTAAAAAAATCAGGTTCCACTGGTAGCCAACTTAAGGAAGCACAAAGCATTAATAAGTCGCTCTCAGCACTTGGGGATGTCATTAGTGCATTGGCTTCTGGAGTCCAACACATCCCTTACCGAAACCACAAACTAACCATGCTGATGAGTGACTCACTCGGTGGAAATGCCAAAACACTAATGTTTGTGAATGTTTCTCCAGCCGAATCCAATTTGGACGAGAGTTACAATTCTTTGACGTACGTTACTCTTCTTTCTCTACACTCATGCACATCATGTATGCATTTTAGTAAGCATTTGGTTCTGGAAAATCTCACATTACGTTGGTAATAAGAGATTACACATTTACACCATATGGAAAAATGAGGTTATGCTGGGTACAATGCAATTATCTTAGGGCATGTTTGTTGGATAATATTTTTTAGATATTATCTACATTTAGATGGTAAGAAAGAAAGTTAAGATAGAAAAGAGCAGTACAGTAAGACATGATCTAACTAATTACTACGTATAAAACTCCTCTGTCCCTCTATGTACGATATTCTTTATCTTTTCATTTGGCCAAAAAGCATAAACATTTTCCTAATCTGAACTCCATTAATATTTTACTTTCTAATTTTATCTGTTTATCTATCATTTCACTTTATTTACTTTTTGTGTGGACAGATATTATTAACATAGAGATGAATTGGTTAACTTTAAATAAATCCTCCATCACTTTCTCTGAAATCCCCTACGCAAACAAGCCCTTGAGTTTCCAATTTTGCCCGTACAATTTAATGATCCAACTCATCCAAGTAATATGGAATTCCCAGAACCAAACAGCTTAAGCCTTAAGGCAATCTCACAGCTTAAGGTGTTGATGTAATTATGCTTACTAGTTCTATTTTGTTCATGATGTAATCAGATATGCATCAAGGGTGCGGTCTATAATCAATGACCCGAGCAAGAATGTTTCGTCAAAGGAAGTGGCACGTTTAAAGAAGTTAGTAGCATATTGGAAGGAGCAAGCTGGGCGGAAGGGTGAGGATGAGGAATTGGAGGAGATCCGAGAAGAGAGACTCTCAAAGGACAATAAAATTGGTGACAGCCGTGTTTCTATGTAAAACATCCATATCCATACATTATAGGCGTTTCTCGTTACCAACTGTTGGTTGTGGGAAGAATTAAAAAATGCCTAGAGGATTAGAGGCCCTTTATTGGTAATTTAGCTGATTAACCAAACCATTGTCTGTATTAATTTTACACGGGGCAGTAGTTCTCCAGGTTTTTTTCTTTTTGCAGGGCAGATAAACGGTTAGATCTAAGATTTGTAATGATGTGTAAATATCAAGCAATTATTTCATGTGTACCAGTGTATGTGAATTCTAACCCATTGTTCTGGGTTTGTGAATGATAAATTCATATTCTTTCTTGCATGTATAACCTCTGAACAGGTCTGGCACCCGGGCTGGTTTCCGTCCAGTTTTAGGTAAGGTTAAGGATGGAACTGGAACTCTTGAAGACTAATTGAGTACTGTTTTGATCTGGTTCCATTGCAGTTTTTTAAGATCTAAAATAATGAAATTGGTCTGTTTGGATCCTATTTGGAGGAATCAGTTTAGAGAAATGAATATCGGTATTCTGGAACGGTAAAAGTAATGCTTCTAACTTTTTAAAATAAAATAAAAACTTCTTAACTATTTGCAAAAGAGGCTCAAGTCAAAGTGGTTAATGAAATTAGAGATAAGGGTGCATGTGAACCCAAGACTGGATAGTGGGCCTAGTGGCCAGTTCTTAAAACTTTAAAAACTTTTTGGGACAACTTTCATATTATAATTAGAGAAAGTACAACTCATTCATACAAAAGTCGAATATCAATTATTAGAATTTAAAAGTTGAATTAAAGAAACACCTTCAATCCCATCTCATGGACTCATTCATAACTCATGCATGGAGGTGGACACGTAAAAAATGGGATGGAGGAAGTCAACATGTCAACGCACATGTGTGGGTAGTAGGTTTAGCCTGCTTTTGAGCTGTCGTAGGATTATCCATCTAGAATACTAGATACTTTAAATAGGAGGCTGTCGGTTGTTGCTACAAAGAATTATTTCTTCAAAAAATATGGATCACTTTCTAATTAGAAGAAAGACTTAATTACAATTGTAATTATTGGTAATGATCATGTAACTATTGTAGTTTCATTGATGACCATTTGCGTATTAAGCATTCCATTTGTTTGGAACTATGAGTGGACCAAGAACAATGACACTCATGCACCGGTTTGATAGCACTAAAACTGGTTAAAACGGTTTGAAATTGATGATATTATGATTGAAGTAGTTAAATTCGCTCAATCTGTTCATATATGAAAAAATATAACTAAAAAGCTTTAACAAAAACAACCAATTTTGCAAGAAAAATGACTTCAACTTTATTTATTTTGATTATTATACAATTAAACATGTAAAATCATAAGTTATATTACCTCCGTGCCACTCAACTTTGCCAAGTTGATTTTAGGTGAGAAATTAAAATAATAAAAATTGTGTGGTTGGGATTTGTGCAGAGGAGAGAGAAATGAACATAGCCACAAATAGAATCGTCAAAATGGGCCAAAACCCGCGGGCTGGCCTGTTTAAACCCATTTATTGATGGGTTAGGGTTGAGAATTTCTGGCCCATTTAGTTTGCGGGTTTCGCGGGTCACCGGGTTGTGGGTTGGCTCGTGGGCCAAAATAAAAAAATATAGTTTTGAATTTATTATCTTAAATATTGTTCTTTTACTACCAATATTATTATAATTACAATTAAGAAATTACAACCATGGCAAAACAATATTTATTTCTAAGAAATATTCAAATAAAATGTTGAAACGTACTCCGTATATTTTATGTGAAGTTCGATACAATATTTAACAATTAGTAGTCATTATTTAAAAATAATTAATCAAAAGGTTTATGTAGATCTTTATTTTTATACGATGAGTATTTTGTCGCATACCCGCTTATAGTTTTCAAATTCTCCTATAGTATTAACAAGTATTGAATTTTTAGTATTTTGATTTCTTATATTTCCTTTGTTACCACTTACTAATATAAATATATATACTGCAGGTAATTATTTTTAAAGATTTTTTTGTTATATATATATATATTTTACATCGGCCCGCGGGCCAACCCGTTTAACCCACAGGTTAGGTGGGTAGGGTTAGGGTTATAGAAGTTCTGACCCGTCATTAAATGGGTTTGCCCGACCCAACCCACATAAAGCATAATCCCTTATGAGTTGGGTCGGGTTGGCCCGTTTGACGGCTCTAGCCACAAATTCATTGTTTTAAAAAGAAAATGGTAAAATTTTTTGGGACAAAGAAGAAGAGAAAGTTGGCAAAGTCCAATGAAACAAAGGGAGGGAGTATCATTAGGATAAGTCAAAAATTTGGGCTACCAAACATCTCTTAATTTACACATAATGTTTTCGCCGAAGTGGGGTGCGTCGTAATTTGGCCCTCCTCTAGCTACATCCATAGTGATGGCGTCTATGTCCAATTAATGTTTACAAATTAACAATCTTTGTCGAATGAACATTCAGTTAATAATACCAATAATATTAATGGATCATTTCTCATTTCCCTTGATAACAGTTTATCATCGAACAATAAGGGGGAGTGCTATACAAGATTAATAAAGACTGTCCATTGTGTGGAAGTTCCAAATAAAAGAATTGAAGGATGATATTTATAAGGCAAAAATATAAACAAAAATGGAAATCTTATGATTTCCCATTAAAACAAATATAATTACTTGAAGAGAAGATAAATGTGAAGAAAAGAGTTCACTGGTTATATATATATATATATATATATGGTTGGGGTTTATAAATGGTAACTAGTAACTACACCAATGAGTCAAAGTGTCCTCCGTTGGCATTAATGCTCTCATCACTGCCAGACTGTGGAGTCCATCCCGGGTTGAATTGGGAATTAGGTGTCATTGTTGTGGTATCACCTTCAAGTGAATCTAAGTCAATGGGCCCCATAGATGGCCACACAAATGCCGGCCTGAAGGGTGGTACAATCGGGATCGGAACCGAGCCGAGAATGATCTGCACAATATCGGAGGCTCTCGGTCTCTCATTAGCCGTTGGATGTGAGCAAGCCAGTCCTAGCAACAAAAGTCTTTGAGCTTGTTCAACATCATAATCGCCCCGCAGCCTCGGATCAACCGCCTCGAGGATTCTCCCGTCACGATGCAAGTACCACACCCAATCTACTAGATATTGAAACCCGCCAATCTTCGCTCCCGGTTTTTGCCCACACACAACTTCCAGCAACACTGCTCCCAACCCATATACATCCGACTCCCGTGTCGCCTTACCTGTTGTTTAATCATTTCATGTCAAACAACTACAAAAGTACTAATAAGGAAATATCAAGTGAATCCTTTTAAGGATGAAATTCTAAATCTTAATAATACCTGTGTGAAAACACTCAGGCGCAATGTACCCCACAGTGCCTAGCACTCCCTCAGCCTCAGCGTAAGATGTTTTCTCATTGTCGAGTGCACGTGCAAGGCCAAAGTCTCCGAGGCGGGCATTGAAGTCGGAGTCGAGCATGATGTTGCTCGCTTTAAGGTCACGGTGCACTACCCGTTGTTCAAACTCATTGTGCAAGTAATGCAAGGCTGAGGCGACGCCATACACGATTTTGTACCGTAGCTCCCAACTCAGCGGATTTTCTTCGGGCGAGGAGAAGAGGTGTTTATCTAAGCTGCCATGGGGCATGTATTCATACACTAGAAGCAGCTTCCCATTCTTGTGGCACCAGCCTATGAAAAGGTAGGTACTCGTTAGGTTATTCCAGCTTTTAAAAAATTAAGAACGTAGTATTGTTGCATTATCCATTACTCTGTATATATCAAGAGTATATGTACAAAAAACTAGTTTTACATAGTAAACATAATTATGTTATAAACCCAAGCAAATGAAAAATGAAATACAGTTCAAACGAATGAATGCTTAATTTATCTACGAAATTAATATTTGTATAAACACTAAAGCACTCTTATGGAGCCTCTATAATTGCCTGAATCAACTTATTCTGCCAAACTGTACTCATCAATAGAGAACATAAATAACCTACGTCGTATATCCTTTTTAGGAACGTGTTAAATACGGGGAAACAGAAAATCGTAAAAAATTTCTTCTAATAAGATAATAACTTTTGGAGTTCCTAAAAAAGTTTACGTTGGGTTTCAGAAATGTAATGCGCATTTTCTCGAGAATTACCATGCTTCATATAAGTAGATTATTTGTGAGTTGAAAATATTGTTACCACTTGTAAAACACTTTCATAGGTGTAATTATTACAAAAATCTTTTCCATTAATCTTATGCTTTAACCACTTTCAAGCAAAATATCTTTAATTTGCTCACAAAGTCAACCTTATCACTAATTACAGGTAATTTGGATTAACTTCATCATTTGGATTAATACGTGAGGTTTATTTTGTCCCCTCTCGACCCCACCCCTTTCCTTTTGTGAGTAAGACATGCACATTACACAATGTCACATATTCGGATATTCCATTACTCCGTCGTGCGAATTAATTACTACTCCGTGTTAGGCATGGCCTCGGTTCGGGCCGCCCGGCCCGGGACCGGCCCGACCCGCTACTGTGCGGGCCCGGCCCGGCCCGGTTATCCGGGTCCGGTTCGGGCCGGAGGCCCGGGGGTGGGGCGGTTCCGGGCTCGGTTCAAGGTTTTGACGGCCCGGCCCGGTCGGTTCGGGCCCGGGTCCGGGCCAAATCTATTTTTTTTTTAATTTTTTTCATTTGTTTTGGGCTGTTGGGCTTGGGCTATCTGTTTAGGCCAGTTTGGGGGGGTTTGGGGGGGTGGGGGTGGGGGGGGGTGGGGGAAGAAAGGGAAAAAAAAAATTAAACCGGGTGGCCCGACCGGCCCGGCCCGGCCCGGCCCGGAACCGGACCCGGAACCGGTGGCCACCGGTTCGGGCTCGGGCCCAACAAAACAGACCCGAGGCCCGGCCGGGCCTAGGCCCGAACCGGGCCCGAACCGGCCCGGGTCCATCCATACTCCGTGTATTTGATATTCCGTCTTTTTTTTTGTTCATTTTTAAATTTTCGATCACTACCCTTTCCAATTTAATTGTTTGATCTGTTCTCACTCAGTTATTTGTTATTGGAAATTTTTGAAAGAAGTAATTGAGATTTTTTGATAAAGTACAATTGAGATTTATTAGCGTGAAAGAGAAAATAGTTTTTTTTTTAGTAATGAATTGCCAGTTATGTGTGGGTGACCATGTTCAACATAGAGCCTCTAATTAGCAAATGTAACCCACATTATATGAATCATGAGTTTGTTAATACTTGTTCTATATATAACTATCAACTAATGTTTCAAATGACATGGCTACATTTGATTCTTATTTTTTCTTTTTGTGTCTCTAGTTTTCATAGTTGACATAGTTCATTTGTTTTGCACGTTATCCACTACGTATTCATTCAACTTCTTTCATTATTTTGGTAAAACAAAAGCCTGTTAAAACTAAAAATGTGAACATAGGAATACTAATTATTCTTCTAAATCACCGAATCTTGCTTAGCCGTGTTCGGGTGGGGTCCATTTGAGTAAGAGTCGTGACAAATCTTGTCCACCTAGACTGTGGGCCCCGCTAGTTAGACATCATGGCATGAGTCCGGAATGATGCCAGCCAGAAACAGAATGCCATGTGCAATTCCGTTTTTACCCCCCTTTTGTCTGGAATAATACGTACGTACGGAGTAGTATATTAGATACTCCGTATTCCGTAATATGCTGTAGTATTTTTTTGGACCACGTACATCTTTATTGTTCTACAATCTACACTTTCAATAATTCCATTCATTTCTCTCTCAATCACACACGAGCTCAAACTATATGTCTAGAAACACGCTTTTGTGATTTTTACAATTTCATTGGTAAGTAAGGTTATGATTTCCACTAGTAGTAGCTAATTTAACTATTCATTAAGAAAGTAGATGTATTTCCCTTTGAATGATTCTTGTTGTTACACTCATCCTTTAAAACACATCATAAATTTCTTTGTATACATATAATATGTTCAATTTTTTTTTTTGTATATATAAATAAATTATTATTTCTCTGAATAAATTGATTGTAAACACAGTCACACCGACGAGTATAAATACAAAAATTGCACACAAAAATGTTGAGAGTACACCAAAGCATGACTCAAAACAATCTCACTGACTATCAAATTAAACAACAAAAAATGATCGAGTGACTTATAAACTATTAAAACATTATAAAAAATAGATAGTATAGCTAACCAAAACATTAAAATTAGCAATAAAAAATTACAACACAATATGCGAATTTCCACAATCTTTTGCGGAGAATATACTGTACTCCGTATTTACCAATGTAAACACAAATTATTTGTTACTTGAGATTTGTTTTTTGAAGGATAACTTCTTACTCCGGGGCAGTATAAAATCATCTTTATATAACCAGATGACTAAGCAGGTTTAATTATTTTTGTAGCTAAAAATTGACCCTTCAAATGAAGTGTTTTTTCACTAAAGTGTAAGAAGATCAATTGCATTTAGGAAGGAGTAAATTAAATGACAAAGTGGGAAAACAAGAAAAATATTGTCGTAGAATGATGGCTCATAAATAAAACAGATGGGGCTAAATGGACCCTCTACTTCAGAACAATACAGTCGCCTTTGACCTATAAAGATTGTGTTTTCTAAACTCAAACTAATCTATTAGGAACACCCGCCAAACGTGACTTTGGAGAACTAAACAAGAATTTTAAAGTTGGTTATCCTATTATAATGATCTTATAATTAAAGTGTTATTATCCACAAATATCTAACCTAATACCACCTTGAAATCACCCGGTAATTTAGTTTGTTGAAATGGCTATCGTGTCTTCATTATAAGTTAGTTCATTTTTATTTGATTTAATATTTAGAGATATTACCCGAAATAGGACTAAAAAAGTTTGAAAATTCTAAAATAGGACTTACATGTTTTTATTTCCAAAATAGGACTAATTACTGTCATGTTTTGGCAGTACCAGACTTCAAACATGGCAGTATTTTCCAAACTTGGCAGTAATTAGTCATATTTTGGGAATAAAAACATGACAATCCTAGTTTAGAATTTTCAAACTTTTTTAGTCCTATTTCGGGAACTTTCAAACTTGGCAGTTTTCGATGAGTTTGTAGTGAGTATTACTCCGTAATTTTTCCTTGTAGTAATCAGTATTGTGACAAAGACGCATTTGGCAGCCATTTATGACTTATTTTTTCTTAACGTTGAATAGTTTTACCGAACGGGCAATAGATTGTCTTTTATATTTGACACCGTATGTATTTGTTATTTTTAATACAGAAATTGACCTAAATAGGAGTAAAAACGTTTTAAAATTCCAAAATAGGAGTATCGTATTTTTTATTCCGTGAATATGAGTAAATTTCTGCCAAGTTTGACATTACAAGGCTTTTAAACATGACATTTGCTTCCAAACTTGGCAGATTACTCCTATTCAAGGAATAAAAAAACGATACTCCTATTTTGGAATTTCAAAACGTTTTTACTCCTATTTAGGGAATTCTCTCTTTTTAATATGTAGAAATTAAAGAGTACTCTTACAAATGCATACCAAAATTTAACCACGCGAAAACTTAAGAGACTGATTGTTGCTCTATTTTCCGACTTATCCGCTCAAATCTTAAAAGATATTTAATCATTTGAATCAATCAAATGCATGATAGGTACGATACCCCATTTTTTAAATAGGTACCGGAGTTGTCACCTTATTTTTTACGAAACCCGTTCTTAAAGTCTTGAACATTACCATTTTCAAGTTTCAATATCTACCCTAACACTAATTTTCATATGGAGGATTATGGACACCATTGACAGGGATTTTTGACCAAAATTTCTGGATAACAACGTACAATTGAAACATCATTAAATCTTTGAATTGAAGTAAAAATAAACATACCTAGAAGCTTGACAAGATGTTTATGGCGAAGACGATTAATGATTGTAAGCTCAGCTATGAAATCACCCTGACCCTGTAAATTCTCTCTGGAGAACATCTTCACAGCAATCTCCATTTTCTCCACAGCCAAACGCCCCTTGAAAACCACCCCAAATCCTCCACTTCCAAGCTTGTTCTTCCCATCAAAGTTCTCTGTGGCCTTTTTCAAATCCTTGAACTCGAATTCTCTCGGAGTCCCCGGCAGGCTCTTCAGCGCCCCAAGAATCGCCGACTGGCTGTGAAGATTCCTCCTTTTCCGCATCCTCAGCACCAGCAGCGCCGCCGCCGCCATCGCCACCAGGACCGCCGCGGGCACTCCGACCCCAACCGCTATTTTCCACCAGTCCGGTTTATCCGGGAAGTATTTGATCGTGAATGTCCACCGCAAAACGCAGTTCAGCTCGTAATTGGTCCCCGTCGATGCAGAGAACCCAAAGTACGATTCTCGATTCAGATACTCCCGGAGATCAAGATCCATTCTTAGAACAGGGGATTTCGGTTTCGGCGAGTCGTCGCCGTCTTTGGTCTCCTGTTTTCCGATGTACACCTCCATTACCTTCGCAACGCCGTCGTACTGTACCCAGACATTGAAGAAGCTGGCGGCGGTGGTATTGGGAGCCAACACCATTCCCAGAGGATCCAAAGATTCAACCTTTACAGATCTGACGCCGTTAATATCAATACCTATGTGGTTACCGTCGGGATCGAAGGCTTGCTTGCCGGTGTCGAGCTCGACGGCGATGATTTGGTTGGTGGAGTTCCCGTCGGTGGACGCATTGGTGAGGCCCAAGAACTGGCCGGAGCTGTTCCCGGGAAGCTCTGTTTTCGGGGCGATCAAGAAAGTCAGACCTTCTCCGGCGGGGCCCTTTAATGGGTAAATGTTGATCCGAAAAGTGGAGTTAAAAGAGGCGACTTCGTCCCTGTTCTTAGCACCAACTCTTGATGGCTTTGGTGGGACTTTTCCTTCCCAGAGCTTGAACGGCTTGTTGATGAAAACTCTGCCGGAAATGTTTTGCATGGGGAAGTTGTTGAGGTCTTGAGTGCCGGTGTCTGGGGTGACTTGGATGGCGTTTTTGTCAATGCTTCCATTTTTTGAGAGAGAAAGACCTTGGTAAGGGTTGTTTTGATCGAAGGTGTAGGTGTAGGTTTTTCTGGCTTGCAGAGAGGTGGATGCGAAAAAGCAGAGAATGAGGAGGAGGATGGTGAAGTTTTGGGGCGGAAAGAATCCCATCTCTGAAACTAGAATGGAGAGGGAGGAGAGGGATGAGTATTAGTGTTCATGGGGTGTTCATGTTTGAATGAGCCTAGGTCCTTCTGAGCAGGAGTTTCTAGGAAAGGGAAGCCAAGTTGGTTACATGTCTACAAAAATAAAATGGGAAAATCACACATAAAGTAAAAAGTAAAAATAATGTAACAATTCAATATAAAAAGAGAATATTACTTGAAATAGGACAAAAAAAATTGAAAATTCCAAAATAGGACTCTCTTGTTTTTATTCACAAAATAGGACTAATTATTGTCATGTTTTGGTAGTAACCGACTTCAAACATTACATTGTTTTCCAAACTTGACAGTAATTACTCCTATTTTGGGAATAAAAACATGACAGTCTTATTTTAAAATTTTCAAACCTTTTTGGTCCTATTTTGGGAACTTTCGCATATAAAAATGGTATTACATCACCATAGCACTTGTGATTGTGTCATTGCCACTTTGTCATCTATCACCTTTGAAGTCACAATTTTTTTTGGAACTGTCTTACACTCTTTCATACTGATTTTGGTCCGTACTCCCTATAATATTATGAAAGTTATACGGAGTAAAATTTATATTTTTATGAAAATAATTTTAAAAATGAACATTCTCATACCACTTTTATATTACTCTGTATGAATAACTATTTATAAAAATATATAATTAGTCAAAATTTAATATAGTTGATCGGGAAAAAATGACAAAGTTTAGACGGAAGGAATATGATTTTCCCTAAATAAGAGTTGTCTCGTTTTGATAATATCAAACTTTAAATATGACATTATATTATTTAGCTAATAAAACAATATTTATATTTTGGAATTTCTTTTTACTCCGCAATTCCTTAAATAACACTACGTATATATTCTCTCACTCTCTATAGACCATGATATTTGTTGTCTTTCACTTTCTTGGTCTTGGTCACTCCCTCTAACTCGTTAAAACAGAGCTTTGACTCCTAATTAGAAAAGCTTTATTCTTTGTGTAAAATTGAACAAAACTTATAATAGGAACAAAACATAACTACCTTATTATGCACTCTGTATACGTTTAAATTCCATTTGGAACAATTTTGATCTTAATGGGCGAATGGATAAGCAATTTTGAGCTTATCATGATTCGTGAGTCACCTCCTCCATGTGGGAGTTTTAAAGTCTCTCTATTCATGAAAAAAAACGGGACTTGCCAAAAGATAGAGGAAACCCATGCCAATGATAGTTTTAACCTTGCAACTCTCATGGTCCGAAAGTGACAAAAGTGACAAAACAATCATCAATATATGATATCGCCATAGCCCCACCATCTGTTCTCGTAGAAAAGGGCAAGATATGTGACATAATATTTAAAATAAATGTCACATTTGTATGGGAGAATCCGATTGATGTACATATTGATAAGAATATTGAAGACCATACTTGATGATGGTCATGAAAATTAAATCAGCTCTGAAAAGAACAATGAAGGGAACACGAATGCACGACGTACAAAATCACGATGAAACTTGCAACCTTGAGTAGAGCCTTGTGGAGGTTTTAGAGAAGTTTAGTTTAAGCTATATCTTAAGTAAAGTAGGGGTGAGAGTATTTATTCCTAATTAAGTAATCTTAAATAGAGTTGCTGAGATAGCGAGAGAGAATCTTCTTACCATAGCGGAATGAGAGTCTTATTGAGAGAGAATAGAACATAAGTATGTCTCGTATATCGTATACATAGCGAAGACCTTCACTGAGATGATGCAGAGGGCAGGTCGAAGAACGAGAGATGTGGTGGGCTAAATAGCAAAAACTTATTACTACACACGCAAGGTTTAGCTTGTTTTGTAATCCAACCAAACTTTTTTCGAAATGTCTGACTTTGATTTTGAATCTAATTTAAAGACCCGAGTTTAATGAGATTCAAACTGATCATGAGTTTGAATAGTACATTTATTCAAGCCGAATTCAAGCATTGTGATGTTCGATTCGATTTGAACTCAAGCAAATCAATCAATTATAATTTATATGAATAAATTATATACTATGTATATCCTAAAAATTTAAACATCTTTAGTATGATTCCCGTGGAAGGATCAGTACAATTTTCAATGGTATTCTAGGCTTATATTGGGGGTGTTTGTTAGGTAGCTATCAACCAATTTTTAGCTCATTTGACCAATGTTTGGCTCTTTGACCTGATTAATTAGCTAATTGAGGTGTTTGGTTAATGAGTTTTTCACTTAGGTGTTTATCCCAATCAGCCAAATTAGAAAACGCAAACAAAAGTGACGTTTAGGACTTGGCTGTTTGAGAATTTACAAAATTTTCCCATTTTACCCAGTTCATCTTCTCTACATGCTCGGTCATCTTCTACAAGAACAAAAAAAGCAACGAGAAAGCTTTGTTCTTCACATACGAGTATACGACATCAAATATTCTGCTGAGTTTTATTTTGACCTATTTTATTTCGATTGATCGATAGATGTAAGACTAATAAATAATTATCATACAAACATGATCATGCTTTTAAAAACACTCTAGATCCCATCGATATTTTGATGTCAAGGAGGCTCGATAATGCTTACGGCATGACGGCATCCCATGATTTTTTTATTATCACTTCATTTATTTATCAAAATATAATCATGCTAATTAACTTTATTAGTATACGAAAAAAATTTAAAAGCATTGTTACTTGCATCAAAAATTTTGGATGGAGTATTTTTTCTTAAATAAAACGATTTAAGTTTGTGTACTAATAATATTAACAGAACGTATAATATGTGTATAAAAGTAGTTAGAAAATAAAAAATTTAATTGATATCCTTAAAAGTCAATTTACAATTTATCAGCTGATTGCAAACAGTCGTTTAACCAAACACAATTCTATAAACATCTACTACTAGCTAGCAGCTAATCAAACCACCAACATAATCCGTTGTCACTAATCAGCTAACAGAATCCGTCAACGACCAGCAGACAACAACCAATTGTCAAACACCCTCATTATTTGCATATAATACATAATAGGAATGTATTAAATTGCTTTCTTTCCTTAATTAATTAGTCTAGCCGTGTAGGAGATTCTTTTTTTTTTGACAATTCTATCTAACCTATATAGTATCTGCTCAATGTTAATGCCAACTTCCTTAAACTGAGATAGGATTCGAACTTGTGTAGGAGATTCTTTTATTTAATTTTCATGCAGTGTTTGTCTTTAGTTTGTATAAACATACGAATAGAAACTCTTTCAAAGAAAAACATACGAATAGAAACTATCATTGTATAAAGTGGATTACTTAACCTTAAGTTCATTACATATACAGATAAGATCATAATTCATAAGATAAGGGAATGGTTTAGGATTGAAAAATAATGTCAAATTTGTGTCAATCGTCTCCACTTTATTTATTTACCTAAGATTAATTTGAATATTAGGATTATCCCTAATTATTTCGGGAATATATTTTATTTAGAATAGAATACATATTTATGGAATTTATTTATTCAGAATATTCTTCCTTTTGTAGTTGATTCAATTTAAGAGACTACTTCCTTTTATGAAGGAACTGATCCAGATTGATCGGTAATTCATTCTCTTTATTATCTTGTACGCTGCTTTGTAAATGAAGAGAGAAAAACCATTGTTCGATTATGCTCCAATTCAATATTGCGTAGAATATAATATGGTATCAGAGTCTCGTTAATCGATCGGTGACAAGCATGCCGAAAAATGAAGACAGGTGCGAAGGACTCACCTCTGCCAAGCTTTACTACCGAGCAATGGCAAGTGTTGATTTCAGCCTTTGGTAATCTCTCATCTTCTATTGACCCAATGGCGGGTAAGTTCGATACTGATGTGTGGATAATTGATACCGGTGTCACTAATCATATCTGTGGTAATTTGACTCTTTTGTCTCAAATTAAACATATTGAATCGTATTCTGTTGGCTTGCCAGATGGACAGATGGTGATTGCTAGTAAAGTGGGATGTGTAATTGTATCGGACCGTTTAATTTTAGAACACATACTTTGTGTTCCAAAATTAAATTGTAACCTCATCTCTGTCTCACAATTGTGCGTTCAACTTGATTGTTTTGTTCTGTTCACTCATAACATGTGTGTTATTCAGGACCGTCTCTCGAGGAAGCTGATTGGAATGGGTGAGGGGCGAAATGGACTGTTTTATCTGCGGGATGACTCCTTTGCTCGAGCATTGACTGTAAAAGACGAATCACATAATAAAGTTGTGGACTTATGGCACCAGAGACTCGGACATCCTTCTTCACAAGTGATTGAAAAGCTAGCACCTATGAGTGGTTTAAAGAATTTTGGTGTCTTGCCTTGTGATGTATGTTTTCGAGCTAGACAGACTAGGACCTCTTTTCCGAATAGCTCCAGCCGAAGTAGTGGTATTTTTGAATTAATACATTGTGATTTGTGGGGACCTTATCATACCACTTCTTCTTGTGGTGCTAAATATTTTTTGACTATAGTGGATGATTATTCCCGAGCAGTGTGGGTGTATCTCCTTGATAAAAGAGAAGTTTTGAAGATGTTTTTATCTTTTGTTGCGATGGTAGATCGCCAGTTTTCTAAGAAACTGATTGTTGTGAGAAGTGACAATGGAACAAAATTTAATTGTTTGAAAGATTTCTTTGATAAGAGTGGCATATTTTTTCAAACATCATGTGTTGGTACGCCGAAACAAAACGGTAGAGTTGAACGTAAACCTAGGCATATTTTGAATGTTGCCCGAGCTCTTAGATTTCAAGGACATTTGCCAATCTCTTTTTGGGGTGAATGTGTATTAGCTGTTGCACATCTTATTAATCTCACTCCTGCAATTCTTGATTATAAAACTCCATTTGAAATTCTTTTTGGGAAACCACCTTGCTATAAAGCATTGCGTGTCTTTGAGTGTCTATGTTACGCTTTCAATATGAACTCCAAGGGCAGAGCCGTCCATAGGGCCAAGGCACCTAGGCACTTGCCTAGGGCACCCATTTTAGATGGGGCACCATTTTTTAATAAAGCTTCAATTATATTAACTTCATCCCAAATTGATTTGCAAATTTGACTTTTTCTTGGTCAAACAGTTTCGTTTTTTTCACTTAATTAGAATGTCAATTTTTAATTATATTGTAATTTGGACTTTACAACTTTGAAGAGATTTTAATGTAGTTTATGAATATGTAAATTTTAATTATTAAAAATTGAGTTAATTATCCATAGGAAAGATTGACTTTTATTATTGGTTGACCAAAAAAATTGACTTTGCAAAACAAATTGGGACGCAGGGAGTAATAGGGTTGATCGGAACAATTGTACGATTGCCTCCGTTTGATATGCTTTTGGGTGGATTTTTTTGGATGAAATTTTGTTAGCATGTTCCTCATGAAGTTAATATTATGCTCATTAAACTTTATCTTAAAATTCAATTGGGAAGTCAGTAAAATAAATTATTGAAAAACATTGTGTTTTATGTACATTTTTTGGCACAATTTTATTTGATAATTTACTACGTATTTAATTGATTTTCCGATTGAGCTTTAAGGTAAATTTTCATGGATATAATCTAAACTTCATGAAAAACATACCCACAAAGTTTATCAAAATATGCAACCCGAAAGAAGCTGAAATGGAGGCGACCGGACGGCGGTTCCGGTCAGTCCATCTGGATCGGAAGATTTCTCATATATATATTTTTATTTTTTCTCTCACACACACATATATTATACTTGGTCAGCCGTTAACAAAAAATGAATAGGTTCCTGGCATAAAAATAAAAAACAACTTTTATTATTTATTAATAAAGGAAACAACCTAGGAGACAATTACATTGATTAACATAGTTCTCGTGATTTGTCTGAAGTAATCATCGCAAATGGTTTCCACGAGAAAACTAAAAAAACGAACTTATGTAATCTTTTACGGATTCTATTAATAGGTATGAGAAAATAAATCTGTTTTCTTTTCTTTGAAAAAAAAAAGATTTCGTCTGGGGCACCAAAACTTCTAAAGACGGCCCTGTCCAAGGGTGACAAATTTGCTAGTCGGAGCCGCAAATGTATTTTTGTGGGCTACCCATTTAGTAAAAAGGGCTGGACTGTGTATGATCTCGACACTGGTGAATATTTTGTGTCTCGGGATGTTACCTTTTATGAAAGGATATTCCCGTTTGCTATTTCTTCTGCCACGGTCACGGATACGGATGCCTCAGATGAGTTACCTGCTATCCCTTTTCTGGATTATGCCGATATTCCCACATCCATGTCCCAGCATTCGGCTCCCACAACTTCACATGAAGGCTCGTCAGCTGAAGTTTCGGTGGAGCAGCCTTCTGTCACAACAGATGTGCCAACCACTACCAGTCATGATGACATGGTGCCACACGACACTAATTTGGGCAAGGGCAAACGTGACCATCACCCCTCAGTTCGTCTTCGGGATTATGTTACTCACACAATTGTTCGACACCGTCCATTTCCCGCTCCACCCGCTTCGTCATCTTCCTCAGGTACACCGTTTCCTATTACACATTATGTTAATTGTGATAATTTTTCCGCAAAATATCGTGCTTTCTTAGCATCTATTTCTTGTATTACGGAGCCACAATTTTTTCATGATGTTGTTAAAGATCCTGGATGGCGGAATGCCATGTGTTCGGAAATCGATGCTCTTGAGCGGAATTCTACTTGGAGTTTGGTCCATTTAGCTCCTGGAAAACGTGCTCTAGGGTGTCGCTAGGTGTATAAGGTTAAACATAAAGTGGATGGAAGCGTTGAACGTCTTAAAGCACGATTAGTCATTTTTTGAAACCGATAGGTAGCCGGACTCGATTATACTGAAACTTTTGCTCCTGTCGCCAAAATGGTGATTGTGTGTGCTTCTCTGGCTATAGCCGCTTGCAAAAATTGGGAACTACATCAAATGGATGTGCATAATGTGTTTCTTCACGGTGACCTACATGAGGAAGTATATATGAAGATCCCTCTTGGCTATAAGACTCAAGATCCCACGATGGTAAGTCGGTTTCACAAGTCTCTCTATGGTCTTAAACAGGCACCGCGATGCTAGTTTGCTAAGCTGGTTGCAGCTCTTAAAGACTGGCTTTCTGTAGTCCTATGCAGACAACTCTCTTTTTACTCCTACTCGTGGGGCTGTTCAGCTTAATGTGCTGGTTTACGTGGATGACCTTCTTATCTCTGGAAATGACAAGGCCGCTATTGTTGGTTTTAAGTCCTATCTTCACACCTGTTTTCACATGAAGGACTTGGGCACTCTTAAGTATTTTCTTGGCATAGAAGTTGCACGCAGCGCGTCTGGTATATTTCTTACTCAACGTAAGTATGCTTTGGATATTATTACCGAAACTGGCTTGCTTGGTGCGAAACCTGCGTCCTTTCCTATTGAACAAAATCACAACCTTGGCAATACCTCTGGACCTCCTCATACGGACCCGGAGCAGTATAGACGTCTTGTTGGGCGTCTTATTTACTTGGCCGTCACTCGTCCAGATATTACTTACTCTGTGCATATCCTATCTCAATTTATGCAAAATCCTTGTACTGCTCACTGGGATGCTGCACTCCGAGTTGTGCGCTATCTTAAAAATTCTCCTGGTCAGGGTATCCTTCTTCGATCTGATGGGGACCTTACTCTAACAGGATGATGTGATTCTGATTGGGCTGCGTGTCCTATTACTCGTCGCTCACTATCAGGATGGTTGGTCTTTCTGGGTCACTCTCCTATTTCATGGAAAGCTAAGAAATAAGCAACCGTTGCACGTTCATCTGCTGAGACTGAATAGCGATCCATGGCGGTTGCCACATGCGAACTTAAATGGTTAAAGGCACTTCTTTTAAGCCTGGGTATTCATCATCCTCAAGCTATTCCTCTCTACTGTGATAGTCAATCTGCTCTTCATATAGCTCAAAATCCAGTTTTTCATGAACGCACGAAGCATATTGAGGTGAATTGTCATTTCGTGCGTGATGCCGTACAAGCTAATTTAATTGCTCACAGTTATGTTCCTACTACTTTTCAATTTACGGATATTTTCACTAAAGCTCTATGCAAGACTCAATTCCAGACTCTTCTTGGCAAGTTGGACATTCTTGATTCGCATGCTCCAACTTGAGGGGGTATTTCGGGAATATATTTTATTTAGAATAGAATACATATTTATGGAATTTATTTATTCAGAACATTCTTCCTTTTGTAGTTGATTCAATTTAGGAGACTACTTCCTTTTATGAAGGAACTGATCCAGATTGATCGGTAATTCCTTCTCTTTATTATCTTGTACGCTCCTTTGTAAATGAAGAGAGAAAAAACATTGTTCGATTATGCTCCAATTCAATATTGCGTAGAATATAATATGGAAATTGTCCTAAATAGGACTAATGAGTTCCTAAAAAGCACAAATATGACTACTACTTTTAAAATACCCTAAATAGGACTAAACATTGATTTTCTACCCTAAATACCCCTAAGAGTATTAATTCATAATGAAATGCTTTAAATCATAATAAAATCATAAAAACCGTAAAAAATATTTTAAAAACGTAAAAGAAATATAAAAAATTTATAAAACATTTATAAAATAAAAAAATTTAATTTTTTATTTCTTTAATTTTTTTAAAAAAATAATAAAAAATAGTAAAAACCCATAAAAAATGATAAAAATTATGGATACCTTTCCCACCGCCTCCCGCCGCCTCCCACCACCACCACCTCCGATTGGTGAAATTTCTTCCACTTTTGGTAAAAAAAATGCCATATTTTTCTGAAAATGCCAAAAAGATGGCATAATTACTCTTCAATATGCCAACATTTTCATTGAATATGCCATCATTATGGCATTATTTAAAATGTTGGCATATTTTTCTCCGGTGATGGGAGCTGGTGGTGCTGGGGTGGCAGGGGTGGTAATGTTTTTTTTTAATTTTATGATTTTCTTTTAATGTTTTTTTTTATTTTTTTTTTTTTTAAAAATATGTTTTTTTATTTTTTTAAAAAATATTTTTATTAATTTTCTATTATTATTTTTACGATTTTTAGTATTTTTTTCGATTTTTATTAATTTTTTTATGATTTTATTATTAATTAAAACATTTCACAAGTTACAAGGGTATATTTGTCCAAACACACATAAATAGTCCTATTAAGGGAATTTAAAAAATGTAGTCCTATTTGTGCAATTTTGCCACTTTTTAGTCCTATTTAGAGAATTGGCTCTAATATAATACTCCCTCCGGTTCTTTTTAAACTTCAGTGTTTGACTTCACAGTTATTAAGGAAATAAAGTTGACTTTACTGTAGAGTACACTGTTGAGACACTGTTTGGCACTGTTGAGACACTGTTTGGCACTGTTTAGCACTGTTTAACACTGTTTTGATGTAGATTTCTTTGCCAAATAAGGAAAAAAGGAAGTGTGAAG